TTTGGCTCAGTGGTAGAGCTTTGGCCTGCGGACTGAAAGGTCCCAGGTTCGATTCCGGTCAAGGGCATGTACCTTGGTTGTGGGCACATCCCAGGTACGGGGTGTGCAAGAGGCAGCTGGTCGATGTTTCCCTCTCCCTTTCTCTCTGTTAAAAATCAATAAAATAGATTTTTAAAAAAATTGGGACTGTCTCGCCAAAAGCAGGATGTCTGGTCACCTTCCCGTAGGGTGTGACATATCGGATGCGGACAGGGGAGAGAAGCTGGAAGAGGGGCCGGGAGTGACATGGCCTGAGGGAGGACCTGGCCCCCGGAGTCCTGGAGTCCTGGGCCGCCAGGTGTGGTTTCAGCTCTGCTTTCACGGAGCATTATCAGGGGACACTTCAGAAGAAGCCACTGCCTGGCCCTCTCCGGCTCTTTGAAATGGGATCTCCGGGGGTGGGGCTGTGGCAGAACATTCTGGTGGAATGAAATCCTCGGTCTGTGGGCTGCGTATCTCGGGCCTTTCTTCCGATTCCGAACATCTGGGAGGGGAGGTGGCCGCTGGGCGCCCCGGGTTTGCACTGTAATCACAGGAGGAATGTCTGCTCGAGTGCTATTTGCTTATCCACCGGCATCTGTTCTGGAATGCGGGCGATAGCTGAAGTATGAAGACAAGGGTTGTTTTGACTTAGGAATGTTTGTACATTCTTGTTTTAGTGTTTGCTCTCAGAAGTAGACGATAAACTTGCTAATTGAATGTGCCCTTAGGGGAAAGGTAGAGCCTCCCCCCCCCCCCCCACCTTTCTCTCCGGTGTCCTTGTCCTCCCTCGCCCTTCCCTTCCCTTTTCCCTCCGAAGTGTCACATGGTTGTGGGAGTGCAGTGAGCTTTCCTCTGTCACGGGGGGGGGGGGGGGGGGGTGGGGGGGGTGGGGGGGGTGGTAATGCTGAGGGGTGGGATCAGGAGGTGCAGAGCTAGGAAGTGGTGGGATGGTCTGGAGGTTGGTTAAGGTTGGGTAGGAGTAAACAAGTACACTGATTGAGAAAATATGTACGAATGTTCACATATTCACAAATCCATCCATCCATCCATCAATCATCCATTCATCCTATCCATCACCCATCCATCGATCCATCCATCCATCCGTCATCCATCCATCCATTCATCCATCCGTTATCCATCTATCCATCCATCATCTATCCATTCACTCATCCATCCATCCATCCATCCATCATCCATCCATCCATCATCCATCTAGCCATCCATTTTATCCATCACCCGTCCATCGATCCATCCATCCATCCATTATCCATCTATCCATCTATCATCCATCCATCCATCCATCCATTATCCATCTATCCATCCATCCACTCATCCATCCATCCATCCATCCATGCATGCATCATTCATCTATCCATCCATCCTATCCATCACCTGTCCATCATCCATCCATACATCCATCATCCATCTATCTATCCATCCATCCATCCATCATCCATCTGTATACCCACCCATCATCCATCTATATATCCACCCATCATCTATCCATCCATCTGTCCGTCCATCCCTTGAGGGTAATGAGAGCCAGACCAGACCTGTGCCTGTTGGGAAAGGTGTATAGAACCTATTGATGAGTAGCTTTGGCCATTATGGGGAAGGGGTCCTGGGGTCCGCTTTTGGTGTGAACAGCCGAATAGAAGAACATCTTCTGGATCCTAGCAGGAGCTTCTCTGAGACCTTTGGGACCTAGGACCCAGGTTCAGGTGTGAGCACAGCCGCAGTGGTGGTCTGGCCTGTGGCTCGCTTGGGACTGGCGTCACTGGAGCTCTGGAAAGCGTTGCTGTGAGATGGAGGACATACCAGCCTCTTCCTCCTGGTGGAATAGGCGAGTGGAACTCGGGGGGCAAGCGGAGGGCTATTGTCCTGCTCCCTTTTGTGAAGGTGGACAGTACTTTCCCTCCTCCTCCTCCTCCTCCCCCTCTGCACATTCAGAACAACACACATGAAGGCTCACCCTGCTATGCACATACTCCCCTTAAGCTCCGAGTCAGATCTCTGACTTGTAGTGCCAGTGGCTACTTGAGTCAGTTTACCATAATTTTGTGACACGGCAGAATAGAAAATACCAACTTGAAGGAGCACACAGTGGCTTAAGAAAATTGAGTGTATCGTTGGTAAGTCTAAGTGCAAATTGATATAAAAATAAATGAGCTGCTGGGTCACTATTGTTTCGATCCCCGACAGGAGGTCTCTCCTGGTCCTGCAGTTCCTTACCTGCCTACATAGAGAATGGAACTGTGGACGTCACCGGCCTGGCGGCTGCGGCCAGGCGGCCTTTCCGGTCCCAGAGAGAGGAGGATCCGAGAGAGAGGAAGGTCCTAGAGAGAGGAGGGCTGGGGCTATGCACACTCAGGTTCTCTTCCCGGCAGAAATGTGGGCACATTTACCTCTTTGAAGCCCAGAGGACCTTCAAGGAAGAAACCCATCACAGCAAGGGCAGATGTCAGAGCGAAGGACACACCTCCTGGGGGTTCAGGATTAGAGATCACACGTCTGAAACAGTGGCATGTGGGGATGACCCAGGTCAGTGGTTGGCAAACTGCGGCTCGAGGGCCACATGCGGCTCTTTGACCCCTTGAGTGTGGCTTGTCCACAAAATACCACGGCCTGGGCGAGTCTAATATTTTGAAGAAGTGGCGTTAGAAGTTTAAGTTTAAAAAAATGTGGCTCTCCAAAGAAATGTCCATCGTGGTCCTGTTGGTATTTGGCTCTGTTGTTGACGCGTGAGTTTGCCCAGCACTGGCCCAGGTTCTTCCACTGTTTGCTTTTTTCGATTGAGAACGTGGGGCGGCCTGGGCCCTTTCCCGACCCGCGGAGCCGTGTTGGTGTATCAGTACTGTTGCCGTGGGACAAACCACCCTCCAAAAATGAACGGCTTAAGATAGCAACCATTTATTTTTGCCCAATTCTTTGGGATAGCAACTAAGGCTGAGGCCAGCCGGCGTGTCTTCTGCTGGGGTCAGCTGGGATCACGCCTGTGGCTGTAGGCCACTGCCTGGGGCCGGACCGGAGGTGGGGGGAGGGAGGAGGGACTTCGAACCGCCTGGGCCTCCTGAGGGCAGTGAGGCTGTGCAGTCCGGGGCACCCTGGCTTTTGACTGGACGTCGCCAGCAGGTTCGCACAAGCTCATTCCCGTCGTGGCTCCCAGCTGCCCAAACACTTCTCAGGCCTCTGCTTGCGTCTTGTCCCTTTGGCTGCACCAAGCCGTGTGGACCGGGGGAGGGGGAGGACGGAACCTGTGCAGCGGGGAGGGGGAGGACGGAACCTGCTGCCTCTGAGGGGAAGAGGGCAGTCCTGTCCCCAGGACTCTGCACACCAGTGGAATGTCTGTCCGGCGTCTTCGCAAACCTTTCCCAGCAGGCCAGCCCCGTGGCAAGAGCATGTCGCTAAGGCTCTGCTCGGGGGCCGCACAGCAGGCGGCTGCATCATGATCGGGCACCATCGTGTGGTCCCTGGTCGCCGCGCTGTTTCCGCAGCAGAATGACTACAGGGACGCCGTGGGCTGCACCGTCTGTTCTGTGAGTGGGGAAGGCCAGTCACCCGGTGAAGGAATCTCCACGGGACCTCAGGAGTGGTCCGTCCGCCTTTCTGGGTGACAGGGAAGGGCTGGGCCAGGCGGCGGCAGAGCGCACACCTGGGCTGGGTGGCCGTCTGGCGCTGGGCTGAGCCGTGGGTGTCCCCACAGGAGTGCGAGCCAGGCATGTTCTGACCTTCTGACCCAGGAGTTAGCCACGCTAGCATTAGTTTTCAGGGCAACCTCATACTGTTTGTTCTGATGACAGCAAACATTGATGTTGACTCCTGTATTCAGGAAACTACCTGCAGAGGTAAATCTGTATCCTTTTTCTGCTAAGGAAGGCTGATCTTTCCACCAGCAGATATTAAAGGAATAGCTGACCCTATGTTTCCATGTTACCCGTGTCACTAAGGCCAGTGAATTCGTTAGGAGCTGCTCAGTCAGTTACTCAGTTTCTAGTGTCTCCCATCGGCTTGCCCAGGTCAGTTGGAGGGTGCAGAAACCGTCTTAAAAAAGTCTTGTCTAAATAGAATAAGTTAGGGAAATTGGAGTCTCATTTCTTGTCGAGCCAGATTGATTGGGTCCCAGTGGAAGAATGACAGGAATTAATGTGAAACATTGCCTGGGAACTGGGAGGTGTTTTTTTAATTAATTAATTTTTATTGATTTCAGAAAGGAAGGAAGAGGGGGAGAGAGAAACATCCATGATGAGAGAGAATCATGGATCGGCTGCCTCCTGCAGGCCCCACACTGGGGATGGAGCCCGTAACTGGGGCATGTGCCCTGACCAGGAATCAAACAGTGACCTTCTGGTTCCTAGGCCGACGCTCAACCCCTGAGCCAGGCCGGCCGGGCTGAATTTATATTAGACGGTAAAAGTCCTGTCCTTCGGAAAGCACATTCTGGTGTAGCAGCACGTTAGAGGTCAGAGAAAACTGGTTGCTGCCCGAGGGATAACTGTGCTGAGCCCATTGTGGAGACTGGCAGGCTTGGGTAAGGGCCGCGCCAGGCCCGGCCCCGTGGGTAGGAATGGCTGCGGTGGGAGGGGGTGGCCAGAGAGGAGGGAGGGAAACACCGGCTCTCGCTGGAATCGGGGAATGCGCAGGCCTTGCCCGCACTTCACAGTGGTCGGTGACTTCATGTTTGGCACGGGCTCCGGAGAGCTCTGAGCCAGGATCCCGAATTAACCTAGAGGTTCTGAAAAGTACTTTCCATGGACAAACCCACGCCTTCCATGGATCAGCAAAAGGAACACGCGCGGCGGACTCTCTTGTCTTCAGAAACGGAACGTTTTCTCGAGAAACAGAAAATGAATGGCCCAGTGAACTAGCGTGTTCTGTTTTTTTTTTTTTAAAGGATAAATCCTTTTTATAAAGGACTTTAGCGAGGTTAAAATCCACGCTGTGTGTGTGCTCATGCTCTGCGTGTCCCCCTCCTTTCACAGACCTACATTGGGAGTGTGGTCATCTCCGTGAACCCGTATCGCTCTCTGCCCATCTACTCCCCGGAGAAAGTGGAGGATTACAGGAACAGGAACTTCTACGAGCTGAGCCCTCACATGTGAGTATGGCAGTCTGCGCGGTGCTTTCCTTGCGCTCCGGAGATGGCAGCTGACAGATGTGTCCAGCTGTTCCCTGCATGTCCCGGGAAATGCTTTAGTCTTTTTTTTTTTTTTTTTTTTTTTTTTTTTTTTTTAATGGGATGGAGGAATGCAGAAGTGCATTGTCATGCCTTATTTTAAATTTAAAGAGGCAGAGTGCTTCCTTTGGCGCCAGGCTCTGCGAGTTCTGAAATGTTTGGGCTCCGTATGGAACGCATCTCTCCGCGAACGGTTCTGTGTGAGCAGCAGCTGCTGATGATTATTTTTGCAAACAAGGCAGGAATGTGCGTGGCTTGCGATCACAAGGAGCCCGGGCGGCGTCTCGGATGAAGGAGGAGCCCCCAGGGTTGGGGTGTGTGACGGTGCCCGAGCAGAAGGCCCACGCGATACCTCCCGTTGGTGCTCTGCACGGACGCCACTCACCAGGCACCGAGTGCATTAGGCCCGCGCGTTCACCGCCCCCTGAGCTCAGCCACTGGTTTGATTTTTCCTTTTGAAGGTCACTTGTTAGTGCAAATAATTCCTGCAGATAATCACGCACAGTTGTTGCATTAGGGCCACGGTTGAGGAACCCTGGACTGAGAAGGGAAAAGACCTTCCGAGGTTGGGTTGTGTCTTAGCACAGAATAATTTTCTCTGTCTGATCGAAGGTGGACCTTACTCGTCTTGCTAGAAAGTAAAACCTAGTAATGAGAGAGCACATAAACCTCTGTCTGGGTATTGATGTAGTTTCACAGCATTTTGGGCCACTTGGAACGCCAACGTCAAATAGTCTGTGAAGATGGTTATTAAGACCCAACCGCCCTGTTTTCTACCGGTCACGCGGATTCTGCTTGGTCAGTCCACTCCCAGAAGCAGGCTTTGCTAGTGATGGTCGTTCGTTCTGCTTTAACAAAAACAAAAATTCTGAAATTCGTTTTATAAAGTCACCCCTGTGCTTGAGCCCCTTCAGTGAAATCCTTTATTCGACAACCTGCATGTCCCTTTCAAGTTCTAGGCCTTGGCGTTTCTCAAAGTCGGAAGCGTGGCTCAGCCGTGTCAGAATCCCGAGGAGCTGATGAAAAGCCCAGCTTCCACGGCCTTCCCACCACCAAGCCAGGAATCTAGATTTTTCCACAGGCTTTCCCGGGCATTCTTATGTGCACACACGTGTGAGAACATGTCCCAGATGGATGCTGACACAGGGTTTCCCTTCCTTCACTGTGTGCTACATATGGTGACCTTTTACGATAACAGTGATGGTGCCTTGCACTTCCTGAGCATGTCCTGTGTGCAGGTACAGCATGGGGCATCACAGCTCACATGATTCTTGAAATAACCCCGTGGGGTGGGTATTACAGCAAATTGGGAAATTGTCCCGGGAAGACAAGCGATTTTATCTGGAGCCACTCAGCTGGTGGGTGGGGAGCTGGAGCGTGAACAGGGTCACCTGCCGTGCCTCTCGGCTGGGAGCGGGTCCCCCATGCTCATGGCCGGGCCTCGTGCTGTGCACTTCCCTCCCTCTGCCTCCGGTTGCCTACGTTCCTGCGCCCGGGCTCCAAGGGTAAACTTAGCTGTGCCTCGGTTTACCTCCAGGACGGCACTGCCATTTTATTTGCAGCTTGAATCCCCACTTGGGGGGTGTTAGATAGACCAGTGTTTTTCAAACTTTTTTGGGCAAAGGCACACTTGTTTCATGAAAAAAATCACGAGGCACACCACCATTAGAAAATGTTAAAAAATTTAACTCTGTGCCTATATTGACTATATATAAAGTAATTCTCTTGAATAGGAATCAAATAAACACAAAGAAAGTATTTTATAATTACTTTATTATGAAATATTAAGTAAACAAAATAGTGAAAAATTATAAAATTCTTGTCTTGTCTGCACCTACGGCACACCAGGCAACATCTCGTGTGCCGCGGAACAGCGGTTGAAAAACGCTGAGATAGACAATAGATGTCTATTCTAGAACATGGATGTGCATGCCCTGTCATATCCATTTTTATCCCCATTCCTGGATGTCCCTCTCAGAGGCTGCATGGCTCACCCCTCGCCCCCAGGGAAACATCCCAAGCAGCAGTGCAACAAGCTCTCAGTGTTTCGGATAAAGACAGAGCTTCACTGTGGCCTGTGAAACACTGCAGGGCACGGGGGCCGGTTTTACCTGATGGGTCTGAGTTTGTGAGGCTCACGTCCCAGCCGCCCCCAGCCACCGCCCTGGGTTCTTTCAGCCCCCACACTCCTGTCCCACCTTCCCTGCTGATGTGTGCCTGCTGCCTGGAACGCCTTCGCCCTCCCTTCTCCTCAAGGCAGCTCAGGTATTCCCCCTTCAGACCTCAGATTGCGTCAGACCTCCTCAGGGAAGAGCTGTCCCCTCACCCTGTCTCTGCCAAGGTCATATCCAAGGTCACATCTGTTGCTCTTGTTACAATTAAAATTTAACATTTCCCCCCCTTTTTTTGAAAGTCCCCCCTCCCCTCTTTAAAAAAAATAGGAAGGGAGGGAGGGAGGGAGGGAGGGGGAGAGAGAGAGAGAGAGAGAGAGAGAGAGAGAGAGAGAGAGAGAGAAATATCAGTGATAAGAGAGAATCACTGATCGGCTGCCTTGTACCCCCCCTCTGGGAATCAAGCCCGCAACCCGGGCATGTGATTGACCAAGAAGCGAACCATGACCTCCTGGTTCATAGGTCGACGCTCAACCACTGAGCCACACTACTTAGGCATAATTTAACATTTCTTCATGGGATTATTTGATTGATGCGAGCTTCACCTGCCACGTCTGAGCACCTGGAAATCAGTGAGGGTCTAAACTATATGGACCAGGACTTGGGCCGAGCCCCAGCATTTCCATTTACAAGCTCTGTAATCTGAGCAGATCACATGGAACAAACTCCGACTCAGAAATGAAGTAATTGGCTCTGTTCGATGGGGAAGTAATGACGAACCTGTAGGATTTGTGTGAGGGAGAAACATCTAATAGACATTTATACGCAAGGACTACCTGGTGTCACTGGGTGGCGTGCCCAGAGGAACGAGGGCCCCGGAGGGTGGCCTGACAGACGCTCTTGGCCTTTCTAATTGGAATGAGTGTCTGTTTTCTGTCCAGTGTGATTTTTAAATCCTTTGCACATAAGAAACTTTTGGCCTGACCAGTTTGGCTCAGTGGACAGAGCGTCAGCCTGCGGACTGAAGAGTCCCAGGTTCGATTCCGGTTAAGGGCATGTACCTTGGCTGCATGCACATCCCCAATAAGGAATATGCAGGAGGCAGCAGATCAATGTTTCTAACTTCCTTTTTTTTTTTAAATATATTTTATTGATTTTTTACAGAGAGGAAGGGAGAAAGATAGAGAACTAGAAACATCGATGAGAGAGAAACATCGACCAGCTGCCTCTTGCTCACCTCCTGCTGGGGATGTGCCCGCAACCAATGTACATGCCTCTGACCGGAATCAAACCTGGGACCTTTCAGTCCGCAGACCAACGCTTCACCACTGAGCCAAATTGGTTTTGGCCGATGTTTCTAACTTTCTATCCCTCTCCCTCCCTCTCTGTAAAAAAATCAATTTACATATATAAGTATATATAATTTTTTTTTAAAGAAACTCTTTTATAAATCTCAAGAGGACTTAGTACATTTCAGACAACTCAGAAACTGCATCCAGGAAGAACGATCTCTGGGAGAGAATGATAGGCGGGAGACGAGGAAAATGATTGCACAACAAGATGACAAACATTTGAGGTGTTCTTGTTACTAAATGCACTGACCTCTGGCTGGGGGACTGCCTTTGGACCCGGCCACACCAGGTGTAGTTTGTCACCTGCAGGCAGGTCATGCTGCCTCCCTCCCCAGGAGCCGTCATGAGCTCCCTCTGACTAGTTGAGTGAGCTCCACGTTGCTGGGCCTTCGCAGTCCCCCTCGGCTCTGCTTTCCACCCCAAACACCATGGCGCTTCTTCACCGAGCCTCCTGTGGAGGCACAGCGCCCATGTCTTCCCTCCTGGCCCCCCACCTGCCCATCTCCACCGCTGACGGCCTGCCCGCCCCCTGGGCCTGTCTCCAAGGCTAGGTCAGCCCTCGCCCAACCCACACGCGCCTTTTCCTGCCTTTGAGTTATCAGAGCCGCTCATGTGATCAAACCCACTACCTTTCTCATGTGATCACACCCACTGCCTTTCTCACTGCGCGGCCCATGGGGTCCAGTGTCATCTCTTCCACGAGGCGGAAGCTTCTGTAGATCCGAGACTTGATCCTGTGCGTCTCTGTGGCTCTCAGTTCCTCTTTGAGCTCGATCACTCCAGGACAAAAGGCGTGCTAACGAGTTTCCCGTTACGTATGACTGGTATTACCTTAGACAAGTCGATGGAATCAAACTACTCTAGTAGGTCATTTGGTGAGTTTATTCAAAACTTAGTGCAGTGTGAGGAGAATTCTTTCTCATCTATAATAATAAAAGCATACTATGCTAATTAGACTAGGTGTCCTTCTGGACGACCTTCTGGACGAATCCGGTAGCCAGAGGGAAGCGTGGGTCCCAGGTGCCAGAGGGGCAGCCAGTGCCAGCAGCCGGGGAAGGAAGGCCTAGTCTTGCATGAATTTCATGCACCGGGCTTCTAGCTTTTATAATAAAGTGAGCTAAAATATTATGTTATGGTGCTCTTTCACACTGAGCGTTCAGGTTTAATGTATTTATTCTTGATGTAGAGCACTTAACCGTCTGATTATGCGAAGCATCTGGTGGAGGGAACTTGCCACTGGAAGGAAGAGGGTTGGCCTGGTCCCCGGCCAGGAGCAGGCAGGCGTGTGTCCTAGCATCAGGTTGGATGCCGCCACATCGCAAACACAGTTGTTCTCCATTTTGGAAAACAAAACACCCGGCAACAAATAGTAACAACTGAGAAAAATGGCTTCAGGCTTTAAAAAAGCTCTGGCGGCTCTTTCCTGAAAGGGAAAGCCATTAACGGGAGAATTTGGACA